CGATGGTTAACGCCGATAATGTTATATTATTAGGCACGTAAATATATTTATAAACGCCTAATGTGAATACGTTTAAAAAAATATAGTATAGTAAATATACGCAATAGGGCAACGAAGTATGTATAATTAATATTCTTGTCGGCGGTTAATTATGTTGAATCTCACGGTCCAACGACGAATATTGGCGTGGACGGAGAGAAAAAAAACTAGTTCTATATTAATAATTTAAAATGCGTTTGTGTGTGTATGTAAACCAGAGGCTAACAAATCTGTATACATAAATGCAAAATGAAAAGTTTCCCCGTTCGTATATTATTAATTTAAAGGTTAGTTCTTTCCCCCCGTCCCCACCATTAAACAAATACAAGTAGAAAATTAGTGTTGCACCGAATAAATTGTTTCCGCAAAACGAGTTCAAACGTAGCTGTGATAAAATTGTGTACAAGAACGGAAATTCTTCGTGCCAAAAGGAGTTTCAATGTACACTTATTGACTTATCATACGCATAAGCAATTGTACAAAAAATAAAACTCTTGTCGATGAAACACCAACTACGAGTATTATCCTTATTCAAAGTTTTACAATACAATACGAAAAATATGTAATTCGAATAATTAGTTTATCTGAAATTACAAAATACTTACGCTCAAGTTGTTTTTTGTGTAATCGAATATAATATTACTCAACATGATACTCAATTTACGCCGTGGTTTAAATGACAATAAATAATATCTAATTAAAAAAAAAAAACCACAAATGTTTAAATATTATTAAAAGCTAAACGGCATTACTCTACATTATATAGACGCCTAGAGTATTATTCTATTGTAAATCGATACCCGATTTTTAAATGCGTATTACCCGAGTTCTGTAACACAATCGAAACTCACGTCGACGTGGAAAATTAATCTATCCGAGATATTATTATTGTACGTTATTATGTGCAAAAAGTTAAAAACGATACTTCATTGTAAAAGATAATACGATACGATTAAAATAATTATTATTGCGCCGTTTGTCCTTGGCACCGCACTTTTTTTTTTATTGGTAGGTACACAACTAACGTTTTTTTTTTTTTATTGTAACGCAGTACTCGATGATGAATCGTTTCGTTAAATTCTTCGCAGTACTTACACGATTTGGATTGCAGAAATTCACGGGTTTCGTTTACTGTTTAAAGGCTCGGGTATAATAATAATATGCCGTCGTCGGTGAGGCTCGGGGAGGGGGCTGCCCATTTGGCCGAGCGCCAACAACGTTGTTGCGGTTACTATTGATTTACAAAATCGATAAGTATTATTAATTATCCTTATTATTGTATAAACATGAATTATATATTAAGAAACTGTACTATTTGTAACGACGAATTAAGATGTAAACATGCCGCGCAGCACCGACTTAAGTACGCGCCCGGTTGACTTGCTCTGTGACTTTCTGGTTTTTCAACCGGTTATATATATATATATATATAGTTATCGCAATAATTATTAATTTTTCACACACGGGCGCGCTCGTATTATGCACATACTATAATGTATTAAAATAAAAAAAATTATAAATACTTGTTGTAAGCGCCGTAACGTCAATTGCAATAAGTCTGTACGGCGCGTACTTAATAATATTATAATATTGTTTAAGTCCAATGGTGTTTGGCCGCCAATATAAGGCTTTCGAAGTATAACGGTCGTTTTTCAATCTTAACACGAACCAAAAAGTGTGCAAGTATACAATTATTTTTCGCTCGGTCGGTTATTATTATTGTCGTTATTATATACTTGAGTTGGTACTTGTATTTTATGTGATTCGTCGGTCCGAGACACGTTGTCGGCGTTACTTCTCGAGAACTCGATCCGTCTACCTCGTTTTTTCTTCTTTTTTTTTGTACATGACAGTAATGTTATGTGTCTGCGTAAGGGTTGCCCGCCCGTAAGGTCACTGAAGTTATAAAATTGAAACGTTTTCCTCAAGTCGTCTGTGTAAGTACGGCTTTTACACGAACCATGCGATATTGAAAATAATTTTGCATAACACAATTAATGACAATTAATTTTTATCTGTGTCATTGCTCGCCGTGCATTTTTTTACGACGTCCGATTTCTCAAAACGCACGCATGTTTGCACATATATAATTATAGGATCATTATTATTACTCCTGGACAATATGCATGCTATGTATACTTGTATTGCGACGGTGCGCATAGTAATAATTATTGCCATTTATTAGCTATAATAATAATTATTATTATTATAGTTGCGACGTGCGTTCGAGCTACACGTATGATGCCAGTATCGCGTTGCATAGTTAAAACAGTTTTATATTATCGGCGTTTTTATATATATTGAAAATATTCGAATACTTTGCGCAAGTAAACATTATAATATTATTATTATTATTAAAAAGAGATGCAAATATTTTGCAGCACAACTCATAATACGGTATTCAAGACGAACATATAGATACCGTGTGCTGTGTAAAATATGTCTGTTTTGGAGTCCTCGTGAAATTCGATTTGTTCGGTTTGAAAGTTATTTGTGTACACTATGAAGATCTCGTTTCCCGGTTTAAACTGAGTGTCCAACTAGATTTTTGTGCCAGGACCTGGGTCGCTTATAGGCTTGGCAAATACCGCATGTGCTCTCCCACCCCGAAATCGTTTTATACATGGCGTGGCAAGCAAACTATCGACTGAAATATATTCTATCCATTATGGTTTAATAACTAATGTCCCTTATCCAAATATGTACATTTTTGGCTATGGTATTGCGCTTCATACATTTAAACTCTACCGTTTATTTACAATTCATTGAATGTACATATTATGTACCGTTATTTAACTTGTTTATGTGTGAATAATGCGGTAGTTTCAGTAGCAACGCTAACATCATTATCGCTCTCCGCAGACTGCATTGGCTCAGAATGTAACCCAGAGTGTAATCCACGGCGTTTCTCGTTGCAATGTCTAATTTAAACATAATTACAAAGTGCGTGCGCGCTAATTATATCGAGTATTTAATCTATTACAAAGACTTTTTCCACCCTTCCCATTTTCTCATTAAAAAATGCTTAAAGCTCCTCTCTTTGCCATGGCCGCGTATGCCGATGGTATCGGTCGACCTACGACGGTGACAAATAATTAGCAAGTATCGTTTGCTTACCACGGGTATTGTTTTCCATATTAGCGGCCTGGGCGCACACTGCCGTCGAGTATAAGTATACAGGCACTCGACAATAATACTCTTAACGCGTATCAAGTACAATAATAATAGTTTGTAACATTATGGCCGCGAATAATAATACAAACGCGCTTTATTTTCTCTCGCGACTATTTGATACCGTATCATTTCACCATTGGACGAGACCGCAACAGAGTTTGAATACCACGCTACCATACCGCCGCCAAATTAGCCCATCGACACTGTCGTGTGGCCGCCGTTCCGCTTACTTAAGTAAGGTAGTAGTACTCATAATCATCCTCATTTTATTTATACGTATATAAAATAATAACAAGTAACAACATTATTACATAGGGTCATCGTCGCCTCCGTCTTAATCGTCCGTGTGAGTTTTCCCATAACGTGTTGTATCACTCATCTTGCGAATTGTGCAACCCAGAAAACTAATATACAGCGTTGCAGAAAAATCGTTTGTCAGCAAGCACAAGTAACATGTGGGTCCGGTTTTTTTTACTCATTGTGGCAACCTTTTAAACAAAAAATTTAATACTGTAATCTTATAGCCGTCTTCGAAGCCGCCGGTGATTTTTTCAACAACGACCAATGTTATATAATAATATGTCATAGTTCAGTTGTTAATATATATATATATTTTACATCCGTGGCCACCAGCAGATAAATATTATTATAATGTTGAATGTATCTCATATGTCCACTCAACACAAAATATCATATATTCCAGTATTGGCGTCACCTTCGCTGGTTCTTGTAGACATCTGAACTCTGAGCGTACACGGGATGATTTGTTAAGGACAAGTCACTCATTTCCTTATAAAATAATGGCAATTTTGTAGTTTTTTATTGGAAACACTTAAGTTTTTGTTGTTTAACAATGTTCAAATTTTAATTTTTTAATTTTCTTCCAGATCTTTATCAATTTTTAAAATTTAAACCGTAACTTACCTATATATTTAACTACATTTTTAAATTAAGACTATTTTGTTGAAAATGTTGACAACCAGTTTTGGAGAGTTACTTTAAGAATTGTTAAAGTTTAAAATTTAGGATGAGGGGAGGTGGGGTGTGCGGTAGTGTAATACAAATAATACTGCACTCCACCCTTCCTCCCATCATAAATTGCTAAACTTTAATAACTTTGAAGTAATTATCCAAAACTGGTTATCGACTAGTCAAAATGTTCAGCAAATTATTCTTATTTTTAAAATATAATTAAATATGTACGTTACCATTTAAGTTTTAAAAGTCGATAGAGCTCTGTAAAATACTAAAAAAGGAAAATATTTAGTAATTTTATAATATTGTAAAATAACATAAATAAGAATGTTTTCAAGAAGAAACACTACAAAATTGCAATACTTGACACTCAATATCTCACAATGTCTTATCCTTATTATGAATCACCCTGTACATGCACCGAAATTTGTTATTATTTTATTTTAAGTTTTATTAACGGTACTGACAAGGTCTATTCGTATAATATTATATTATTTGTTTTCGAGTTTTTTAGGTACCGCCGCCTTCACAAACAATACCTACATCAATTCTTCTATTATTAATACATATATTACTCGGTTTTTTTTTGTGCGCGTATATCCTCAATGTCGGCTCTCTTGAGATGTCTGAAATCGAAATGACTAAACAAAACCGAAACCTTAAAAATAACTACAGTCGTCTTTATTAAAACAGTAGCAGCAGCAGCACACGCCGCATTGTTTTTGGCATTAGGATCACATTTTTTTATATTTTCGTTGTGTATTAACACTAATATCTCTAATTTCTGTTTTTTTATTTTTTTATTACTACAGAGATGGCAAAGGAGGTGGTTTGTGTTGTTCGACGACGGAGAACTGATTTATTCACTGGACGAGCACGTGAGTACATAATCATATAATATTGTGTATATTTCTATACATAGCATAATATAGGCCGCACCACAAAACGTGTGAGCTCATTGCGCTCGCGTTTGTATTTATAATGGTTTCCATATGGTCTGCGACAGCTGGAGAAATTGTTGGCATTGTCCGGACCGGCAGGGTACGATATGTATTTTTAGACCTATATATTTACCGCAGTACTACAGTTTGAACTTTAAAATGTTCGGTAAAAAATATCTCCTAAGTTTATCATCCAATCCTTTCGTGTTTGTCCGTCTTAAATGTTAAAGCACTATTTTTACTACTACGTACCCTTACCTCCTCTTTCGACACTTTTATACCTCCTATACACCACAATACTTATATAGACTTGTGTCTTCTGTATGGTTTATAGTAGTTAGTACGATGCAGTTTTTTAGGAGCTCTCCGCAATTACGTCCACTGTAGAAGATTACCATAAGAGTTTTTTATGTTTTTATTCGAAGTGATTCCGTTGTATTATTTTAATTACTATAGCCGATAAGCGAATTTTCCATGTGAATTAGTAATAATTGATTTTATCAACAAAACAGAGATAATTGGACTGTTATATATCATTATGGTGGTGGTGAGTTGAATGTTGACACGCGTTTTTCCTGGTCTCTTCGTTTAATATGGAAATTAGCTTGTCGGTCTTTCCGGATAACACACTGGTTTTGTGTAAAATAATAAAAAAAAAACCATTTTATTTTATTATCGTGATATTAATCGGACTAACAGTAATAATTACAATATTATTATTATCCCCCCACATGATCGCTTATCCGCAATAAGCGCAAACGGAAAAAAATTCTGTCACGCTTTTTATTTTAATCATATTTTACTACCTTGATTGGCATGTATAACAAACGGGGTTATTTTCAAAAACACACTGTAGTATGTAGTCAAATAGTGTACTAATTGGTACGTCCTACAATTATTATAACATGTTGAATAAGTCTGTTGTACTCGCACGCTGACTGGTTTGATAATTAAAACGTAGTCATTTGATTTCATTTTTCTCTTGTTCAATTATGTACAATTCCATTGTTTTCACTTATTATCATTTTCAAGTATTAACAATATCATCTTGTACATATTATGTTGCGACACCGTATTGCATATGATAAATTGCACCCAAAACCATGTACACATGCCTAGCCTCTTCTATTAAGTCTGAATCATTAATAGTATGCGTTTCCTGTTGGCTCATTCCTCGCATTTCATATTTCTTGTCCGTACTTTCGTGTACTATCAATTGTCCCTAAAAAGGCTCTATTTTTGGCATGTTACTGCGAAAGCTGTGTTACAGCGCCTTGGTGGTGGTATTAGTGACGTTGTATACTATCTACTTGCTTTTAAGCTGCCGATTTCAAACGCACGCACGCAGAGAGGGCCCCGAGCATGCTAATATAGTTTAATAGGTATCTAATATTTGAGATTATTATTTTTATTCAATCATTTCCATAGTCTTAGCCTTGAGTAAAGTGTTGTTGCGAAGACAAATTCAGCGTGTTATGCATTAACAGAAAATTGCCATGTAAATCATTGTAACGTTTGTATCTATAATAAATTGTGTTTGTATTTATTATTAAAAATCTCTCGCTAAACGCAGAGGCGTATGTCGATAATAACAATTTGAGTGTATAGTACCTACCTGTAACAATAATTGTATAGATAATCATAGTATAATAGTAATGGATGTGACGTGTAATTTGGTATCTTCGTGCCGCCCATACAGGAAATATGAAATTATTGCGTTGGTCAGTGTCTGACCTACGTTTATTTTCATCAGTAACTTAAAAAACAATATTGTAAGTACACCACACTGTGGTGCCGTATAGGACGATCGCTGATCGCGTTACATACACTCATTAAATTGATTGGTTAGTCATACGTTTATTATTATTTTTAGGGATTTATCAGACCAGGAAACATATTATAATAAGTATTAATGTTAATCGAACACTGTAAAATCGATCCGAACGAGATTAATCTGTGTACTAGCGTTTATAGTTGTTCGTTTGGTATCCTTTTTATAAGATGTAATATACATTAGACGACGCCCGCGTTGGTGTCGTGCCGAGAGTTGGGCACGTGAAATCATTCGCCTTAAACACTTTTCTTAATAGGAAATGACAAAAAAAAAATCAGCGTTGACCTTTTAGGAATGTGCGACGTTCGCTAATATTGTACAGTAATCTGCACACCGGACAGGGACCGTAGAGCCTTAGCTCCTAGAGATTCTTGTTGTCCCGAAAACACACTTATATAAAATTGGTAGCACAACAATACATTTATTATTTCCACGGCGGAGGAGGAGGGGGCGGCGGGATATCACTACACACACACACACATACACATGCTATATAGTATACACACTAGATATTATACAAACATTCACCTGGCCGATGGAGGTCGCGTCCCAAGGTCATCCACCTTGCCGCGGCTGCTCTCTGTACTACGGCGACGCCCGGGCCCCGACCGCATTCCCTCACATAGTCACATACATATATAAATATAATAGTAATATTATCCTCTATATACATAATATTATATGCTCTATGTGTGTATAACATATTATGTGGACGGTGGATCATCTCATGTGCGCCCCAAGACCAAAAGCAAACTAATTATTACGAACAACAACAAAATGATAATGATGATGATACACTACAACGGTAACGGAGATATGTTGATACCTAGGTATCTTAAACAAGTGCACATATTATAACAAATAACACATGATATCTATATGATGCACGCATTATCCGATTCCTTTTTTTTTTTTACCTACATCGCTAAGATCATCTACACACACGGCACGCAATCCGAAAAAATCTGGCGCCATACTGAATGTTGATTATAAAAAAAAAAACCTCCCCAAATATAATGCTTGCGTTCTACCCCGTGTATTGTGTTTTTTCTGTGTTGCAGATATTACATGTATAATTATTATTGTATCCGTTAGGGTTTGTCTTACAATGATCATGTAGCCGCCCCGAAGATCATTATTGTAAAATATGTTTATCATATCACACCGTTCACATTCGACGATTCTCGTTATTATTTCCATAACAGCTATTCTATCGTGCTGCTCGCTTAAACTAGAGGCGAGGAGGAGGGGTGACGAAGAAAGGGGCTAGTTGCCTAGCTCCTGTTGATAGGATAACCGTTGATTGATTATTGGTAATTGGAAACATTTTAGTCATCTTAGAAAATAAAAAGGGTCGGATACCATTAACGTTTTCGAGTACTTGATACAATCGGTATACTGGGTCATAGTTAGCAACTTGGTTGTGCTTTGAAAACGGTACCTCAAAAACGACTGCTCTCGAATATTAAACGACAAATTTAGTCGTTTCGTCGTCCCACGGGTTTGTATAAATCTGATTATAGATTAATTAATGACAAAAAATAACAATATAATGTGAGCACGGCGTAAGAGGGATCGCAGTATTAAAAAACCCCGTCATTGTTTGGACCGTTAATAATCGTCGTTGTGTGGGTGACGGATAATCTAAATAATTCCAAGTATTTCGCCATAATATAAACCGTATGTTGTACTCCGTTCGAATATGGCGACGGCGCGCTCCCAAGTCCAAAACGGATGCGAGCTATTATTAATTACAAATTGAGACAATACACATTATACATTCACTAACGTAGGCGAATCGTTATAAAAATAGCATACATGTAATAATAATATTATGTTGTATTTTTTTTAATAATGTTGCTTAGGCGTGTGTAATAGGTACATAACGGCGAAGAGCATTAGACAGATTGGGGAATCGAAATTGGGTACCTTGAACTTAACTATATTATTATAAATTACGTATATTGTAAAGTTATCATCTTTTTTCTTTCTGAACGTCTGAAATACAGTTTTTTAATACACTTATATACATACAAATATGTATAAATTTCTTTCACGGTCTGATAAACCAGCAAGGTTTTTTCAACACGTTTAAATAATGTAGGTATATTACCCGGCGTTTTCTTCTTTTGCCCTAAGCGGGCCAGACGGCGTAGTAGACCAGAGGTACCGTTGTGGACATATAATCTTTTTTTAGTTTTACCTCGGTTTTTTTATCCTCGTACTTATAATAATCATTCGAAACTTACTATGTAAATGGCATTATTGGAATAGTAGAACAAAGTCTGCTAGCCATATGTGATATGATTATAAGAATGTATTATAGCGTAAAATGTAATATTGGGTTTATTTTTAGTTATGTGGAAAAAAAATATAAAAAATATATTAGTTGTAGTGTATGTATTTACGGCATAGTTATTTTAGGCAATCTGGATCTGTAAAATCTTTATTAGGAGAAACTCCGCAATGTATAATGAGTAAATGATGAGACAGGAGTAAAACGAATTACTGTTAGCTTTCTTTTTACAGTAAAACCGTTGTAATGTTTTATTTATCGTATCGACATAAATAAATGGTTATATCTCCAAAGTTTGATTAATAGTTTCAGGTTAAAACTACATAATGGTTTGGATTCAGGAGTTGTGCAATACAAAATCTTACAAGGTTAATTATTTTTATATACAATAAGATATTTGAAACTATATTAACTATTTAAAATAATTTGATAAGTTTGACTATTTCTTAACAAAATTACACAGATAATACTATACACTCTAATAATATACATAACTAACAATTTAAGAAAACCAAATTAAACTGGTAAATAAATAATTAAATTAAATTAAAATGTTTGCATTGATTATTGTTTTGTTTAGTAATGCTGTGATGTTTTTTAATTTTATTATAGGTTTGTAATTAAATCAGAGAAGGTCCCCATTAGGTCTCAGATATTATGAGTTATAAACAACACAATAATAATTATTTACACAGAATAACTAAGAAAATATATCCTCTAACTACACATTGATGTTTATTTAAGTTATAATAATATATTTATATTATATTTTTACTCGGGCCTCGCAGAATTATTAATTATTATTAC